TGTCATTATCTGACACATCATTGGTGTCATTATCTTACACATCATTGGTGTCATTATTTGACACATTATTGGTGTCATTATATAGTATACTGATTAGCCCCATATTTAAAATTTATAATACTTATGATTGTCATATGTGTGTGTGTAAGAGAGAGAGAGTTTATGTAATGTATAAATTTGTTGTAAAAGATATATAATTTTAAAACATGAAATACTTTTATGTATAAGCTGAAATAAAAAGTTTTTATAATTTAAGCAAATCACTTTATAAAAGGTAAAATACAAGTAATACTAGACTAAATTAACTAAATGATATAAGCACTGCCTGCAATATTCTCTGATAGAAACAAATTTGTCAGAGATAATTTGTCATTAATGATTGCATTTTGATCCATTATATTATTTTTGTTAAATCCAATAACATGATTTTATTTTAAACAGACTTTATAAGTATTATATCGATACATTTATGTCTAATAATATTAGACATAATATGTCTATATATTACTAGACAAATATTAGTAATATATTACTAATATGCTATATATATATATATATATATATATATATATATATATATATATATATATATATATATATATATATATATATATATATATATATATATATATATATATATATATATATATATATATATATATATATATATGTATATCTCCAAGTTCCTAAAACAAACTTGGAGAGCTATGTGAGCTGCTCTTCATTTAAATCGGCACCCTTTTTTAATTTTAATTTTTTTTTTTTGCAACAACTGTGTTTTTTAAAAAGCATTCCAGTATATTATGCAATTAATTTTTTTATAAATGACATTGTGTTTTTTATTTTAGTTTCAACGATAATTATACTTTCGTGAGAAAAGTTTTACTTTTGCGAGAGCCATAAATTGCTCCTGTAAACCGTTTTAGGGGAGTGCGGGCAAGAGCGAGAGCTAAAGCTCTTGCTTCCGCGGAGGCCTATATATATGTATATATATATATATATATACATATATATACATATATATATATATATATATATATATATATATATATATATATATATATATATATATATATATATATATATATATATTCCTATCAAGTGAATTTGATATTGAACATAAGTTACACATTCTAACACCTAGCGTAATATTGTCCGCTGTCTCTGTGTCATCTTTCTAACTTAACTTCTTCTGACTTTCTCTCTAATATCCTTCATTCATTTAAAAATCACTTATTTTTGGTCTGCGAAAAAAGCGCAGACTAAGAGTAAGTGAATTTTTAAACTTAAAAAGTTCCCTGTGAAAAGTGAAACTGAAAACATGGTTTTACTCCACAAAAATGCTCCTTTTTTTGCCAAAACACGAAAGTACAATGAATAGGTCAATTTTGATGATATACTTTCATACTTGTTTATAAAAAATCTATAAAAATCCATAACTTTTTCGTGTTACCTGCAACGTATTCTCTAACTTTATCTATTTTTATCTTACCCTTTTCTTCTAAATCACTGCATCCTGACTATCTGCAACTGTAGGGTCTATATGCTCGCTTTACATACAATATTTTCAACATTGATTTTTTTTTTTTTTTTTACTGTAAATAATGATTTATTAATCTGATCTAATTATTATGTAGATGTTTTGCAAAAATGAATCCTGAAAAAGCAAATAAAATTGAAAAAATAACATTATGTTAGACCTCACCCAAAGGTTTTGGGTTTTACTAGTGCTGTTCGAATGGGCAGAACACCAATAGATCAAAAGATGTTTTGTTTATATTTATTATAGCTATTATATTATAATATAATTTGTCATAATTTTTTTAGCTATTATAATATAATTTGTCATAATATAATATTATTTGTTATTATAAATATTATATAATTATTAAAATTTAATATATATAATAACTACTATAATATAATTTTTTTATATTTATTATAACTATTAATACTATAATAGTTATTTAACCAACATATGAGGGGTCCATCTGAAAAATGTGCAAAGTCCAAGTAAATTGAATTTAAGAAAACAAGTAAAAACTGGGCTACTCATAGTTGTGCATCAACAGAAATTGATCCTTTTTTTTTCTATTTATAGGGAAAAAAAACTTTTTAGTGGTCTAATATTTAAATTGATAATAGATTTCAATGTATAGAGTGTAGAAATGGAATTAACTCAAAAAATTTATTTTTGTGGCTTAACGCGTTTTGCACATGGTCTATGTAATTAAAATAGATTTTCTTTAGATGTTTTGTGTGTGGCTAAAGTACTCAAAACTATATAGTTTTTTTATGTTGTGTTTAGTGTGTATTATACTATAATTATTATTCATTTCACAAGTAGTTTTTCAATAGTCAAATTACATTTTTATAACAACATATAAATTCTATTCATTTATTTTTGAAAAAAATTAACATGCACACCCTTTCAGCATAGCTAGAGCTTATAAGAAATTTATAAATAGGTTTGTTTTTCTTTTAAATGCATATCATTGATAGCTCAGTGGTTTAGTGCACTGTCATCATTGTTGTTTTGGGGGATTAAAGACCTCCTCTAATAAATTTTGAATATTTTTCAATTTTGCTGTGCTTATAGCAATATTTATAGCAAAATTTTTATTATAGTATATATCTATAATAATTATAACAATATTTATTGTTATTATATATAATTATAGCAAATTTTCTAATTGGTAAAATAAAATTCTAAAGTTTTCTCATTTTTATAGATTTATTATACAAGATTGTTCCATTTACTGCCTGCAAACTCAACATATGCTAAAGACATTTACTTTTACAGGCGTTTGTATGCAACGCTATACAAATACCAGAACTAAGAAGATCTTAGGCCATTAAAAACTATTGACTATAAAACGCTAAGGGATTGTCCATAAATTACACAACGCTAAATTTATTTTAAAAAAAGGAGATCAGTTTTTCTAGGTGGTGATTTTCATTAAACTTGATGAGCTATTTTGAATTTTTATTAACAAATGAGAAGAAAAATTTTAATCTTTTTTGTTTTGTTAATTAGTGAAGTTTAGTATTGCGTAATTTATGGACAATCCCTTATTTAAATGTTTAGATTAGGAATTAGCCAAAAAGTATATAAAGCCAAAAAATAATGGAGTATAATACTATTTTAATGGTTATCTAAATTCTGTCGTTGTTGTGCACTCAGTTTAGAATGTTTGAACATGGACAAGGTAAAATTGCTGTAAAACTCTAAATATCTTTATTGTATTAATATTAAATAACTTTAACTTTTAATTATTTTAAAAGTATTTGATTTAATAAAGTGGTTTAATTTAAGTATAAAATTAGAATTTTCAATTATGTTCTTATATAAAACATACTTTTTAAACCCCCTTACTGTTTTAAAAAAATTGAGGTTGTCGCGTGGCAAGTTCAAATCATCAGCTTTATTTTTTAATTTTGTTATTTAAAATGCAAAACAAAACAACTTTATAGTTCTAAAAATTTTATATTCTATATATAAAGATGTTGTATACTCATTTTTCTTGCACAAACTCAACTTAGTTGTAAAAAAACTTGAAATGTAAAACTAAAATAACATAAGTGTCTCAATCATGACACATACACAACAAATATCCCCCCATTTTTTAATGTTTTTAGAATTTTTAGCTTTTTTCAAAATCTTTTTGTCTGTTAAAGTGTATAATATTGTTAGATATGTTTGTATATAATCTTTATAAAACTTCACAAGTATTTTGTATTTTAAAAATCTAAAAAAAATTTTTTAAAAAGATTGCTGGTGGTCAGACTCAAACTGCTCTTTTATTCAGAAGCTCAGCGCGCTAATCACTCTGCTGGCACGTTGACAATTGAAATTTTTAAGCTATATAAAAAAATTTTCTAACAAAAATTAATGCTGTAGATCAAAAATTGATGACAATGCAATTTTCAATCAAAAGTAAAACTGTAAAACTTGATGTTTTAGTATATTTTAAAATTAGATATTTGAAAACACTTTCGTTCACGTTTTCTTATAAAACAAAACTGCTGCAACTCTTTCTCGCCATTACATTGGCTGCCAAGAGTTCTGTGTCAAACAGCCTCGAAAGGGCACTACTACTACTACGACTACTACTACTACTACTACTACTACTACTACTACTACTACTACTATTAAGTTCAGTATTATTATATAGGTTAACCCACATATTTAAAAAGTAATGATAGTCGAAAGTTAAAGAAAAATAAAAGTTAATTTAAAAAAAAAAAGAAATTTAAGTTGAAAATTTAAAAAAAATCAAATTTCACAGTTTTATAAAATTAAAACTTTAATTAAAATGATTCTTTAAATTTTGATTCTTTAAATGATTCTTTAAAGAATCGCAGCCGTGATGTTTTAACTTTTTAAAGAATTGCAGCCGTGGCGTAGTGGTTAGAGTTCTGGCTCAGAGGTCTGAGGTTCGATGCCAGCTCTAGCCCAACAAGCGACATTGGTACGGAAAGAGGCGTAAACTTTCTGTTAAATGCTCACCCGCGGTGCTCTATGATAAGACCGTAAGGACTTCTGGGAGCACCTAAATACAAAAAAAAAAAAAAAAAAAAAAAAATCCTGCATAATGCTTGACTTAATTTTCTTTATTTCAAAATTGTTTTCTATCATATCTAACCTATTATTAAAATTTCAATACTGTATAAGGTTTTTGATTCATCTCCCCGGCCTTAGTTAAACTTACAAGCATTCAAAACGTTTGTGCCAAAACTTATTTTTTTTTTTTGTAAATTTAACTTTAAAAAATACCTTGGTTAATCGTACAATTACTACTTTTGTTAATCGTTCAATACCTTTCATAAGGAATTCTTTTTTCATAAGGAATTTTTTTTTCATATGGAATTATTTTTTCATAATTTTTACATACGATTGTTTATGTATGTTTGTAAAAGTCTACTTATAAGCCCTTTTGTTTTTGAGGGCTTGTATGTGTTTTACAAATTTCTAATCATCACAAACTTATTTTTTTTAGGTTTGCTATTTACATATGGACATTTGGTTGTTCATTAAATGTTTCTAACTATCCTCTATTTTACAAACTTGGAACTCATCAAACCAAACTTGTTCAAAATCTTCTTTTAGAAAATGCCTCTCTGTTTTATCAAGCAATATCTCTACAAGTTCCAGTCAATGTAGTCACTCAAGTTTCTAATATGCAAAATACACAAAATAAAGAAAATAATATATCTTCACAAAAAAACAATACAAATATAAATAAATACATAATTAATGGATACATAAAAAGTAGTTCAATTTCAAGTTGTCAAGATCATTGTGCAATGTCACCTGATAGTGTTCGGTATGAAACTGAATGCTTACGGAATGATTTTAATTTGCGCATGAAACAGATTTTGTTTAATTCTGTTGTTAGTACATATTATGTTGCATTTATACCTTTAAAATTTACACAGGTATTGTTATGTTAATATTTCTCATTTAACACACTTATAAAATTTTTAATGATTATTCCATAATGACTTTTTTTTCATGATTGTTTTATTTTATTTTTAAAAATTATATTGGTTATCTCCTAATTATGTTGGAACATTTTAAATATATTTTGCACAGTAGTTTCTATGATCAAAAGGAACATTTCTAAGGATTGTCCCATTCCGTAACTTAAAATTTTATTTTTGGCTACCACCCATATATATATATATATATATATATATATATATATATATATATATATATATATATATATATATATATATATATATATATATATATATATATATATATATATATATATATATATATATAAATATATATATGTATATATATGTATATATATGTATATATAAATGTACCTCTAAATCCATTTGTGTCTGATATATATACATAATACACAAATGTGCCACTAAATGCATTTGTGCCTAACAGCTCTAAGAATTTTTCCCACTCTCTAAAGAGGTATCAGCTTTTTTCAGGAGAACAGCAAAGCTGAAAATGAGTAAGGTATAAGAGATTGTAATTTCACAGGTGTGATTGAGAAGATGAGAACATACTTCCCTAACCAGAAAGATACTAACAATCTAATCAGAAACCAAGGTCTTACTAAGTTGAATGTTAGCTTCAAGCTCATATCCAGGCTCAAACAGTAAATTTTGTTGTATAAAAACATGCAAGTCACTAATTTAAGAAATTGTTACCAAACATTTTCTGATTTCTTGAAGAGATGATCTCTCTGAGCCATCACTGTTGTCAAGATGTTGCTGAGTTTCTTGAAGGTAAGAACTACTATTGTAGAGTATCAGAGACTTGAAACGGTGTCATTTATCATGAGTTTACAAGGCAGTTTCATGAAATTTCTTTGTTTCCTTTGTCTCTGGGACAGTCATGATATTAAAGTGCACTATCACACAAAGGACTGGCTAATGGACCAGGCCCTCTATGAACAATAGCATTGTGAAGTATGAGCTGCTGATTGAATCTCAGAAAATGCTAATGTCATCACTACACATTAAGTTAGGTCTCATTAAGAAATTTGTTTGGTATATTTTTCCAATATAGTATCTTTTTTAGACCACATATCAAGAAGTTCCTAGAGTTTGACGAGTTAGCCAAGCTCCTGAACAGGACAGAGAGAGTGGCTCAAAACACATTTGTAGCAGTTGTTAATCGCTTTTTGTGTAGTAACTAGATGAAAACTATGCAGAGAATTATACAATTGGATAAAAATGGGATGCAATTGTTAGTTACTGCCCATGTAGGATTATTAAGTATCAACTAACCATTATTTGATAAGTTTTAAGTTAAAATTTCATTTTTTGTTAAAATTGATCCTGTTGTTTAAAATTTCAGTTACGTTTTTTTTATCACCAATAAAATTTCTGAAAACATTTAACATAAGATTTGGAAAGTTATTTGAGTTTTTGATTCAGATACATCAGATAATTCATTTCTCAATGATTAATATTATTGTGGCTGGTTAGCTTAGTTGGTTAGAATGTCAAATGAAATATTAAAACCTGGACTGTTGTGCAATACGAGTTCAAATCCAGTCACCACCAACTCAGTCACCACCAACTCAGTAAAATAAAGTTTAGATGTGAAAAAAAGTGAAAAATAAATGACATTATTAAATGATTAATAATAATAAATAAATAAATGACATTATAAAAATTGTTTTTTTTTTTAACGGGTATGTCCATTTGTTTAAAGGGTATTTTTTACAGCCCTAAATATCGATCACAGTATAACAAAAATATGATGGGAGACTACAATTGGGACTGAAAGTGATTTACAGTAGACTTGCAAATCTAAAAAATCTACTTATTTTTGAAGCTTTTTTAGTGATTTTTTACTGTCTTTGTCTATTCATAATGCCATTATTGTAATTATCAAACTAATTGAATGAAAATATAAAATGTTTCTTATTTTGTCTCAATAAAAATAAATTTCCCTTTACAGTCATTAGATAAAAGCGATTGAAATATAACACTTTGAATCCAAATAAAAAGTTTTCAAATCAAAAAACCTTTTTTTAAGTTAAAAATATTTTTTTTAAGTTATAAAGTTTGTGTTTTCACATTCCTTTTTTTTTTCTAATACTTAACAACTGGTTATGCATTTTTGATTAATAATGATTTTACATTATATTATAGGCGCATTAAAATTAAAAATTAGGTTTAGGTTCCAAGTGGATTTTTCTCATACCAATAGTTTAATTGGCTAACCTGAAATTATAGGAGCTTAAATATGAAAATTTCTTTTTTATAAAGTATTGTATTTTTTATAAGTATTTATTTATTATTAAGTATTTTTTATAAAGTCTTCTATGCTTTTTTATCAACTATCAAGTCTTTGATGTAGCTTAAGCTTTTTTTATCAAGTATCAAGTCTACTTTGTAACTTGTGCTTTTCAAACAACTTGTATGTATGATATTTTTTTAAAAGTCTTCTGTATGAACATTTTCAAAAAATGTTCTTTTGTGCTTCGCTTTTTTTTATCAAACATTCTTTTGAGCTTATTAATCCTTAATAATATGTTTGTTTTTTCATTTTTTTTTTTTTTTTATAACAAGTTGTTATTAATATATATATTTTTAATTTAGAATAAATCTTTGTTTTTTGATAAATCATGGGCAATACAACATATCTTATTTGTATTTGTAAGTGTATTTGTCTTCTTTATGAATTTTATGGTACCACATCATTATATTGATGGTCTCCACAAGTGCGCTCTACACCTTGGAGGTTGGGAAGTATATAATGGACAAAGAGAAACACCTCATATGTATGTAATTTTTTTAAATATTTTTTGAGTCTTGTAGACATAAGAGAATTTTTTCATTATCAGAGGAAAATCTTAACATTTATGTTAAATTGATACTTAATGGTACTGAGGTCTAAACCACACTATTTTGTAAAATTTATGTTATCAAAAAGTGATTGATTTAGCAATCTAATTTTCATATTTTATATAAAAGCATCTTCAAAAATTTAATTAATGGATTGGCTAATTTCACATCTTACACTTACAAGAAAATACGTAACAACTGCTTTTGTTAACATATTGCCCAACTACACATATAATTTTAAACAAAAAACAAAAAAACTCAAATTATTAAAAAGTATAATATTTGCTTATACTAATTCATTCTTTTTTGTTTCTTTTATACAGGTTTTATACTATTATTCACATACGAAATTCGACTTTCAGTAATAATAACTATTTATTAAACTATATTATGTAGACTATATTATTGTATAATAAATAAATAATATTTCCAATGTATTGTAATGTAAATTAAATTTCCATTTATACTTTCAAAAACATTGAGTAGATGTTATTTAGGGACAAATTTTTTATGCTATGAGACCTAAATTATTGTTTATATTAAACACTGGTGACAAAAATTAGACACAATTTTCGAACAAATAAAACTTATTGAATTTGTAATTAGCCAATCTTGTTTTTTGTTGTTGTTTTTCTTTATATATACTTATATTAATTTTATCTTCCTTCATAGGAGATCTTTATAATGTTATTTAATCCAGTCATTTTAAAAAAAAAAATTGATATTTGATATTATGAGAATGGAAAATTGAAAAATTAACTTTTGCTTTCGACACATTTTTACAATATTTTTGCTGCTCTGTAGCTCATTTTTGTTTTATTACTGTAATACTTACACTATATGGGTTGTAATACATTATATGGGTTGACAAACAGTTTGTGTTTGTCAACTCATATATGTTAATAATTGCAATTTACTGCATCTTTAGTGCATAGTGCTTTCTATTTGAAAGGCAGTTCATTTGTGATTGACCAACATCTACATGTTGTTGGCTTAAGAGATTCCAGTTTGATGTTCTTTCCATGATAATATAGAGTTTTATCAAGTTATCAAGTATATACAACAAATTGATGTAATATGATTTTTTATTTACATAATAAACTGTTGATATTATTAATATTGATATTAATAATATTCCAATGATTCAAATTTATGTAATGTCAGTAAAGAAGCCAAAGCTTTGATGTTCCTAATTTTTGTACAATGTCACTAAATTTATCTGCTAATTGTTGTTCAATTTTAATCATTTCAGATTCATAAAAAATTTCCTCCATTAAAATAGACTTATTGTCTCTTTTATTATTATATTTTATTAATTCTTTGATTAGTGATCTATCTGTGCTTTGATTTCAGAATTCAATTTCATCAAAAAGAATATATGTCAAGCGTCTGTTAATAGATGGACTTGACACAGCTTTTCCAGATATTATATGCTCTACACTGCTTTCTGCATATACTTGAGCAAAAAGTTCTTCTAAACCAGGTTCTTTCAACTGGCAACAACTGGAAACTCCTCTATGATTCCTACTGCTTTCGTTGGTTGGTCAAATGTGATACAGTGCACTTTAATATTCATGGTTTTGGTTTGATTGATGATGTCTATGTAGAGCAGATGCAATGTTCATCATTCAGATTCAAATCTATTATAGAGAAATTATTTTGTTAACTTTATAAAAACTGAATTTTTTTGGGTTAGATCTTGCATTAATCCAGACCAGTTGTGGCATTGGTTTAGAAATATCTCGAAAAATTTTGAGTTGTACTTCTGCAACAAGGTTTTTACCTGAAAGAGGTGAGATAAGATGAAAGGTGTCTCTATAAGAGAAGGTGTCTTTATAATTCAAGAGAAAGAGATGAAAGGTGTCTCTATAAAGTATTCAATTTCATTAGTTCTTCAAGCCACACATTTAAATAGGCTTTCTTTTAGTTCCAATGTAGTAACAATCAACACTGGATTTCATTCAGGATGGAGTAAATCCTTTGGAAGGCCACATAAAAAACACTGGTTTTTCTAGTCAAGAGTGTCCAATGAGTTATTTGAATTTGATATAAAAGATATTTGGATTCGATATAAAATTGCTTTGGTCTGTAAATGTTAGGTAACATTTTTTAACTGTTTGAAAAATATTCGAATCACTTTTAGAGTCAATAGTTTTAATCCACTTTTAGAGTCAATAGTTTTAATCCATTTAGAGTCAATAGTTTTAATTGTTGAATTTCTAAACATTTTTTCTCTGGTTTTCAATAAGTTATGATATTTTAATTGTAATTTTATATATGTTAATTAAATTGTTATTTCTCTATTTTAATTTTAATAATATTTAAAATTATAAACATTTTGAATTTTTATGTTAAAATGTAAAGTTTAAATTTATGGAAAAATTTTAATTAACTCAATTTTCCCAAAGGAAAAAACAAATTGTTTTTGGTTTTGGTGTTACTATATGATATTACAAGAGTGTCAAACTTTAGCTAATTAAGAAATTTAATTTTAAACTTTGAGGCTCCCCAGAAACTGGAAAAAAAGTTTTGCCCATTGAGAATGATTATAATACTATGGTTATAAAAAAATGATTTAATAATCTCAAAAATTCTCTCCAATACAACATATGAAGCAAGTTTATGGAGAAAACCAGCATGCTTTATCAAAAGCTTTTGATATGTCAAAAGCAATAGTCCTTGTCTCGCTGCCTCTATCTAATGCACAATAGAATCTTCCAGTGTTCACTTCACACGTCTGTAAACAAGTCAATTGTTGAAGGAGAAAATTGAAGTATTAATTGTCGCAATAGTTGGAGAGATCAGAGTTTTAAAAAATGGAAACAACAGATCCTATTTTCCAGTAGACAGGAAGTTAAAGTGATGTGGATCTCTTACAATGGGTTAACCTGTTTAATAAGAATAGCAGAAAGAGTATGGCCATTAGATTCAAGAGTCAAATTACAGGAAAATATCTTTACAAATAGTTCTGTCTTATCCTTAAGAGAGTTAATAAGATTAGGCCCATATAATAGAGATGGAAAGTTTAACTTACCCTTGTTAACAACACTGTTGAAGATTTTTCAAAAGCCCCCTAAGCCTAACATCTAAGATAAGATACAAGATTTTTTAAACAGGGCAATAATGGAGCTTAGCTTAGCATCAGACACCTTTTTGCAATAATAAAATGGTGTTTGTTCTGAATAGAGTTCTTCCTGTAAAAAAGATGAAAAAAATGATTACAATTAGATATAGTAGCTACACAAGAGGGTGAAAAGCATGGAATGAGGCTTGATTTGAAACCTACGAGAAGAAAAAAAGATTCTATACCTGCCTGGATTCAGGAGCTTATATAGGAGGCATATTTATCAGTGGAGAGACCACCACAAAGATCTGTCATAAAAAAAATCACAAAAAGAATCCCAGTCAGCTTTAGGGTGATAGTAAGTAGTGTGATTATAGGGTGAATTTGAAGAAGTACATGATAAAGGAAAAACAATAAAAAAATGAATAAAGCTAGGGTCAGAGAAAAGACATAAATCAAGGAGTCAAGGTAAGTGATTAGGGTTGTCTGGAAAGCGAGTCACAAAGTTAATGCCAGCTGGGTCAGCAGTGTTAAAAGCCAAGCCATTCAGTATGTTAAAGGCATTTATGAGTAGAGTCAGAAAGATCTAGCATTCATCATCCTAGGCAGGAAACAATGAAACACAGGTTTACATCTGTCAGCCTAATAGATGAAGAAGGGGTGCAAGGCTGGACAACAGAATAATTCTGCTTGTTATAATTACTTTTAACTTGTAAAAGTTTCTTACATTTGTCTTTGTCTTTTTGTATTGAATACAGGCATTATTTTTTGTGATGCAAATCTTGCACAAATGAACTATCTCTACTAACTTTAATTTATCTCTACTAGCTTAATGTACCTCTCTACTCCTAGAGTATGGCGAATTCTGCACATCTGGAACATAAATATTTATTAACAATTCTTTTTTTAACTGAGATGTGAGTGATAATCGGAGGTTCACTGAGTTAACATTTTTTCAAATCAATTAAATCTATGTAATCTTTAGCTTCAAAATTGATTTCTGGTATGGAGAACTTTTGAACTCAGACTTCGGAATTAGGAAGAATTAGGTCAGTAATAATTTGCCGACCTTAATCAGTGTGAGGTCGGCAGAAAAAATGTAGAACAAAGGTTTGTCCATAAAACATTTTTTTTTGCTAACCTCAAACACTTCTAGGTCTGCAGTTAAGTCGGCATTGCCAAATGCCGACCCTGATTTCGAAGGTTATGTTTGTTTTCATAGACCTTGCTTTCATTCTTTTTTGTAATGACAACTCTCTCGCATGTGGGTGAGCTTTTATCCTGAAGAACTGTTGAAACTATTCTGGTTAGCATGCAGGCATCATATACTTTAAGTGGTATTAGCCGATTTTCAAAAAGAACATTTAGTAAAAGTTCAACCGGACCAGATGTTTTAGAAATGTTTTAACAGATGTTTTACTGTTTGAGCAATTGAGAATTCTTGGCACAAAATAAGAAAGGAAGAATTTGATAAATATGACATTGCTTGAGTTGAGCGAAATCTTAAGCTATTGATCAATGAAACCATTGCAATTTGTTCAAATATTCTTTAAATGAAGAGGAGTTCTAAATATTTACCATGTGATATTACAAAGAATTTTTAACACAGAATTTGATCTTTTTCGGAGAAGTTATTTTCAATTGAGTGCATTTCAATACTCCAGGAATTTGTCGCCATACAAGGTGGATATCAAAAATAATAAAAACTACCAAGATTTACTTATTTTTTCAAGTTAATTTAGCAAAAATTTATATCAATCACTAAATTAAGTACCATTCCATCCTTGGTTATGTTAAAGCATAGATTTTCTTATTTCAGCATTTTTGAATAATCTGGATTTCATCCTCCTTATTTGATTATCTCAGTTTTGAAAATCTTCTTTAAAGCTCTTCATTTATCTACAGATTTCCTCATGAATAATGTCAGACAATTGTGCTAAGCGACTGAATGATGTCAGACAATTGTGCTGAGCGACGAGTTGCATGTTTCAATTTATTTCTCACAAAATGAATAAAAATCAAACAATACATCTTCCAAAATTGTTAAATGTTAATTTAAAGAATTTCAATGGAATTTGCAATTGCCTCCTCACACACACACACACACACACACACACACACACACACACACACACACACACACACACACACACACACACACACAAACAGTAAGTTGCTACAACCAAAAGATTATTTTTTAAATATCATTTGAAAATATACTATAATATTTAAGTATTTTAGTATATTTTTCAATCACTTGAGTTAAAAAGTTAGACAAACTTTAGTGGATTAGTTCACATCAGTGTGATATTTTTTATATTTTAATTAAAAGGAGTTTAAAACAAAAAAGATTTGCAATTCAAATCTTTAGCAACACTTTAAAACATCTTTTTATTAAAATTCATTGTAAAAAAAACAACCAGAACAGGTGTAAACAAAATCTTTGGCAACATTTTGTTAAATAATCAGACTAAGTCTTTTTATATCAAATTATCTAGAATTCTAGATAATTTGATATTAAAATTAGAAACAGCCTCAATTCCATACATTTCTTGAAATAATGAATAAACCTACAATTCTTGAGATAATGAATAAACCTACATTTCTTGAAATAATGAATAAACCTACAATTCTTGAGATAATGAATAAACCTACATTTCTTGAAATAATGAATAAACCTACAATTCTTGAAAGTTGAATTAAATACTAGTTCTCTGACGTCATGAAATATTTTAAGTTAAAAATGTGAAAATTTAATAGTTAATTTTTTTGGTTACCGTTTGACTTTTCTTCTATTTTTTTTTTTAGATGGTCTCCTTTAACTATATGGCCTCACTCAGCATTAGTTCATTATAACAAGGGTGTGTTTCGAGCTTTAGAAAAGCAAAACACAGCTGTTCCGGGTGATAAACATCATTCCAGATTTTATGTGAGTAATATTTCATGTCCTAAATTTTTATGTTCACAATAGCAATCTTAAAATTCTAGGTTAAAATCTGAAGAAATCTTCGTATAAATGCCTTTTATAATCCGCCTAGTTTTGACTTATCAGGGACTTTTGACTACATAATTTTCGTGATTTATTTAAAAAAAACAAATACATAACGTAAACAAAATGGCTTTTATTGTTTTCAAATTGTTTTACAAAAAAAAAATTATAATTTTCTATTATTATTATTTTTTTTCGAATTCTATTTTTATTTTCATTTTAAATATTTTCTATCATTTTTTTTTTATTTATATAACGTTTGTATTATTCAAATATTTTTTAACATTAAATAAAATTGGCATAATTTAACTTTTCTTTGTTTCAGTTTATATTCAAAAGTCCTGTGCGTTTGTTAACCTGGCTTGCAGCATTGCAATTTTTTACAGTAATTTATCAGCTCTATGTAATGACGTACTCATCATTGTGGTATCAATGTTTATCGATGCTGCCTATAACTGTGTTTAGTTACTTTCTTTTGTTTCGTTTGTTAAGAGAAAGATGGGCTGTCCAAGCAATCATCGAAGAGCATGCTTTGTGTTCAATGCAAAGTTAACTTTTGTATAAAAACATTTTAAATAAAACGTTTAGCATGTTTTTAAATTGTTAAAACTATTAACTTGTTCAGAAACATTTTTAACGTCTTAAATAGGTCGATAGTAATTGTGAAGCCCTTGTAGTAATACATAGAAAGAAAAAAATATTGCGTTATTTA